TACGTACGTACGTACGTTACGTACGTACGTACGTACGTACGTACGTACGTACGTACGTACGTACGTACGTACGTACTACGTACTACTACTACTACTACTACTACTACTACTACTACTACTACTACTACTACTACTACTACTACTCTCTCTCTCTCTCTCTCTCTCTCTCTCTCTCTCTCTCTCTCTCTCTCTCTCTCTCTCTCTCTCTCTCTCTACTCTTTGTCTCCGTAAATGTAGTATACCATTACTTGGATTGGACACTTAACAAATTGAAAGACTCATGCTATAGTGATAATACATTGTATTTGATAACTATAATATTACATACAATTCATCAATTACCTGCCAAATGGGGTATTCCATTCAATAACAAAATTGTTCATATAAAGTTCAGTAGTCCTGCCCTTTTTCAAATAATCGTTCTTTTCTTGTACCCAATCACCTTACAACCCAAAAAGAAGTGAAAAGAGTACAATAGCATATAACCTACATCCTTTTTTTGAGTGAATGGCATACAACATACATCAATAATGCCAATTGTTTAACAACAAACTTTTCAAAAAAAAAAGCAACATAGCTCGTCCTTTGAAGTTGTTCCATATGAATTTGTCGTCTCTATCTGAGACATAAAACACATTATGATGAGTGACAATAGTGTTCCAAATGAAATTACAAATATGAACTTACACGCATATAAAAATATTTCAAAATGAACTTGCAAACATGCCTTCCAAGCAATTGCTTCTTACCATCAACTCGCATTTGCTGCCTTCTTATGGGTCTGAAGCTTACACCATGTTTTGTCCTTAGCGTTGTAAGAGGAAGATAAATTCATATGTTAGCATTTCAATTGAAGCTAATACAATTGTAAATCAAATACATCAACAATAATGAAGATAATATAATTGCAAATCAAAATAATATAAAGGTATGCCATTGTACCTATCACAAACGAACGACGGGCAGTTCCTTTTGTCATGTCCACTGCCATTGCAGATTGTGCATTTCTTTTTTTTTGTCTTCGGCTTCCATCCTTCAGAACGAGCTTTCAATCTTTTAGTGGCCGGTCATCCTTTGTCTGTGCTCGTGCAGGTTCAAGGACATTGCGGCAATGGTTACTTTCATTTGGTGTGTTACTACAACTATCAGAATTGTCATCTTCATTGACATGGTTCATAGCAACCTGTCCATTGTCTTCAACTGTCTCTCTCGTAAAATTAAAGCAATTAGCCACCTCTTCCCCAAATATCTTCAAAATCTTTTGAGTATAGATTTTTTATGCATGTGAATCAATGAAAGTGGTTGTTTGCAATACTGGAGTTGTTTGAATATCTGTCAAGTCATTTTTTCGCTCTTTTCGTACCTTCTTATCTTGGACTTTTGCGACAGCTTCTAATAATGTACGCAATCTTGTTCTGGGTGTCAAGTACATCTTAAAGTGTTTATTCATTCCTGCACTCCTTTGAGTAGAGGTCATACCCGCAGTGAACGTGCCAACCAAGTATGCATCAACCCATTACATGCGACAACCATAAAGCCTACCGAGCCATTCATTGTCTTCCAACTTATAATTCTCGATCATTGATTTCCATCTCGATTCAAAATCTTCAATTGTTGGGCTAGCCACACACCTCCTAAAGGTATCTAAATAAGAAGGATGCATACGCAAGACATGACGCATTTTTTCTTTGATTTTCGCAAATATGTGCCACTTACAATAATGATGCTTACTTTGGTAAAGAACTTGTCTCACTGCATATGAAATTGCAGGATCTTGATCTGTGAGACTAACACTTGGTTGCCATCCACCCATGGCTTCCAACCACTTTTCAAATACCTATATAAATGATTCTATCTTCTCTTCAAATATGAGTGTAAATTCAAATAAAGTTGTATTGAAATGGTGATTTACACCAAGTATAGGTGCAAAGGGCATACCAAACGTATTTGTCTTGTATGTGGTATCAAAGGTAACCACATCAGAAAATCATTGATAGGAAACTTTAGATGTACAATCTACCCATAAGATACTGTAAATATGTTCATCATCATCTAATCTCAATTTATAGAAAAATGATCGGTTCGATTGGTTCTTTTTATAGAGCCATTGCAAAATTAAATTGCCCTCTTCTCCTCTAAGAATATGTCTAGGCTTAACCATTGCCGAGCTCATTGAATGTATTAATGACTTCGTAGCACTCGACAATGATCGATGTGTGCTAATTAGATGAGCTTTTCTAGTGATTATGATCTTTAACGATGCTAGTCACTTTCTACTCGCCATCTTCTTGACTACTTATACACATCCTAACCTTGCACCTACACCTTAACTCAGGGTAAACATTTTCACTTTTATTAGGTTTTTCTTGTTTATTCCTTCGAGTAAACATAAACCCTATCGATCCATTTACCTTTCTTGTTATGATTACTCCCCCTGCGAATACCAAAACCTTTGGTCAATGCATAAGACTTGAAGAATTCATATGCATCATCCTCTTATCCAAACATCATTCCTATACATAATTCTTCTATTTCATGGCCTTTGTTTGGTGAGCCACAACCACCGTCAGGGATTTCATCAATGCTGCCTATATTTGGGCATGTGCTAGATGTCACACTGACTGGATTCTTAGGATCTATCTCAGTTTTTTGACTTACCCAACGTGAAACTGCAAACTACAAAAATACATTTTCAAACAAACATCCATAATAAACTTTTAACCCTTTGGCATAGATTTTCAAACAATCATCAATAAAAATGAGGATTTTGGTTACATCCAAACTGGCCCTTAATTTTCCCTTCACATACTTCGATGTATTATGGAGGGTATAATTTGATGTGTACTTAATCATGTTTCAATAGATGGTTCTATATCAAGATAAAACTATTTTGACAACTAGGACACTGAAATTGGAATTAAATTGCTAAAAGTAATAACTTATGAAGGTTAGTGGTCATTTCTAGATTGCATTCAAACACACAAAGCATATAAACATGTGATCCAAAAGCACGAGTTCTACCAACTGAAGCTTCAAGTTCAAGAATAACAGTAGAGGTGGATTTACCGGGCAAGTCTTGCTTCCTTTACGAATATAAACTCCAAAGCTTCAAACATTATAAATTCTTCATGAAATCCAAGTCCAACATCAACAAATACATGTCGTGTATCAGGCCAGAAAGGACAGAAAAACCATGGCTAAAATAGATCAATGCTCATTGTGAGGTTGAATATGCCCGCCAAAACAAAATTAATCATTGAATGTCATAAAAAAAATCCATTGTAAGAGGCTTCATAATTGGGTGCATGACATTTCCTGTAGTTTGGTAAAGACCATCTGGCTGAATGCATTCTTTGAAAAATCCAAATATGTAAATGTTGTGGGCAGTTTAATATAAGAAACTACAAATTTAGGCATCCAACCACCTAGAACCACAAGATTCTCTCTTACAGTCCAGCAAATTAGTAAAATTTTGTTGCAGCCAAATATGATGAACCATGCAAACAGTCCTGCCCTACTGAAGAGGTTAAGCAGTCAGACGAACTATACCTGGACTTTTTATATGTCGTGGTCGAGAAATGTATTTCTCCACTAGAACAATGTTTACACCAAATGAAGTAGCTACCTCATGTTGCGCTCCCAATAGAGACTCGATAAATTCATCCGGACTTTCCACTATTCACATACCACGTACGTGACATTTGCATCAAAAAGAAAATTTGAGGTGGATTCCACCAAAATTGTTTGGGATTCCACTAAAAACCCAAACTCCCCCAAATCGATAATGGAAATTGTTTATAATAGATTGTATGAGTCAAATACAGAGAGAGAGAGAGAGTACTTGCGCGAGACGGTGCTCGAGGGGCAGAGCCAGTGCGCTAGCGGCCTTTGGTTTTTCCCTGTGGGACGGGCCTTTGGACAGGGAAGACGAGGGGCCGATGGGATTTTCTAAGCGATTAGGGGAGAAAGAGGCAGAGAGGGTGCACCAGCAGTAGGATTGGCAAAGAGAGAGAGAGGGGCTTGGCATAGGGAGCGAGAGACAGAGAGAGCGGAGGGGCTAAGCTCCTATCAATGGGGCGTGCGATTTTTGTTTAAGAAGTTACAGGGAGCGAGAGGCAGAAAATCAAGGAGGACAGAGAAAGAAAACCAGGGAGGAGAGAGAGAGAAAAAATCCCCTGAATTTGAAGAGAGAGAGAGAGCTGCTCGCATTTTGAGGAGAGAGAAAACCCCGTGATTTGGAAGCGAGAGCCACTCGCATTTTTCTATGTGTCAGTGGGTCAGTACTGTGTGTCAGTGGGTTATTGAAAAGATGTTTTTTGAATTCAACATGGTAGGACCTTTGCGAACGCATCTTGACCATCAATTGCCCAACTTTTGATCGCAGTCGTCGGGTGCATATGAATGGGGTCCACGAGCGGGCTAAGCTCATCCGTTTCCACATATATATAGAAAAGTATATATAATGAAAGCGAGCAACAGTAGATACCTCTCCTTGGGAAACATCTCTCTCTCATAAGCATCATGCATACCTATGCGACCAAGATAGAGAATGAGAGAGACCACTTTGAAACAGAGATCAATTTGAGAGAGAGAGAGAGGGAAAGAGAGACCACGTTGAGTCGTGTGCAACGTCACTTGACTGAGCTTGGGGTTGCAGAGATGGAGAGAAGGAGCTTGGGTAGAGAGATAAAAGGGGCTTGAGTAGGGTAGAGATTTGGGTTCTTGGCGGTGTGATTACCCTGGTGAGTCCTCTGGCTTTATAAGGTGCTATGCTTGAAACTCCTTTTGCAAGGCGTAAGAGGGTTTTTAGAGAGAGAAACAAAGCGAGAGAGTCGGGTTGTTTGTGGGGTTTGCATGGGGTAAGAGAAGGCCACACACGAGAGAAGGCCACTGGTATACCGTTCACTGAAAAATGGGTTTTACGCTATTGCGGTGCAGCCTCGGTGAACCAGTTTTTATTTATGGAAACTGTATTTTTTTCATTTTGAGATGATTTTCAAATGCTCATAACTTGCTCATTTTGGGTCCCATTAAGCTCAAATTCGGACACGAGCTTGATCTCGACAATACGCTCATTTTGACATATGGCATGCATCATGGCATAGCCCGAAATGAGAGAATTATTAGAGATAAGATGGACTCGAAACATGAAAATTCAGATTTTAAAAAGAAGAACATCCAATTCTTTGAGAGGCCATAGCTCGAGATCCCGATGTTGGATCGTCGCACGTATGGGTCCGTTGCGACCGTGCTTCGAAGGCTATAGTTTGATACAATTTTTATGAATGATCGGAGGACAAATAACACCAAATTTTGAGCTGAAGAAGGCATACTTTTTCGGTGGTTGAAATCACATTTTTCGGTGACTTCTCAAAATTGGAATGTGCTCAAATGGACACCAAAATGGACGAAATTTATCACAAAATGATCGTGATAGTATCCTTTTTAATTTGTGATCAAAATGAAGACTTGAAACACCATAGATTGTGTCAGATTGGTAGTCAAAGAATCACAAGTTTATAGAACTTTGTCAGAGTTTGGGTTCATCCTTAAAAATCCATTTCAAGACGATCAAAGGGTATCAAAACAAACATAATAGTTCAAGCATCAATTCTACAGCATTTGGTCGCTCGAATTACCACTATAGAAACGGATAATATCAAGCATTCAAGATTGCAAATTTCTCATCTTTCACTAGATTTCAAGAAGGGTTTGAAACCTCGATTCAATGATCAAATCATATATCAAAATGATTATCTGATCAAGATCATCACTTTTACGATGTTATTTTTGCTAGAAGGTTGTCGGAAGTGCCCGAAATAAGCATCGAACGGTCACCATAGTCTATGGTGTCTTTTTGGGGACCATCTCATCATTTTCAAGATTCTAGGTGAGGGCAAAGTTGTCATTTTGCCCTAAAAACGAGATTCAATATTAATTCACAAAAATTGGAATTTTTTACAATGTGGCTTACTTTTAATTATCCATCCTTATTTCAAGGGAATGAAATATAAGCACCTTATGCTCATTTGAAACCCTAAGTTAGATGTAAGTTCAAAGTGCTGGCAAAAAGTTAATTAAAAACATTGAGGTTCCCTTTAGTTTGTGATTTTTTACTCTATCTTCGTCACCCCAAAGAAATGAGAGAGAATCTCTCACTTCCAACTTAGAACTTCCCACTCCCAACTTAAAACCATTTACTTTCATCTCCCTTAATCTCTACTCCCATACACCCTAGTCACATCTCTCATTGTTCTTACCCCATAAACCTTAGGCCCACTTTCCATAGTCCCTAATTCATAAGCCTTAACCCTGCACCTTCACCTCAACATCAAAGTACTGGACCCACCTTCAATGGTACATCAAAAAAACTACGACCAACCTAGTCCCCCCCCTCTCGGTCTGGACTCAAGGGCCACACTAGGTAACCACCCTTACTCTCTTTCTCTCTCTTCTTCTCTCTCTTTCTCTTCTCTCTCTCACTCAGTCTCGGACTAGGGTCTAAGCCCCCGGTCCCCTCTCTTTCTCTCTCTTTCTCTCTCCCTTTTTCTCTCCTTCACTCTCTTTTTCTCTTCTTCTCCCTCTCACCCTCTCTCAATTTTCCCCCTCTCTCTCTCTCCTTCACTCTCTTTTTCTCTTCTTCTCCCTCTCTCTCTGCCCCTCTCTCAGTTTTCCCTCTCTTTCTCTCTTATCCCCTCTCTCTCCTTTCTCTCTTGTTCCTTCTTTCTTCTTTCTTTCCCCCTCCCGCTCTTGGTCTCAGACCCGGGGCTAAGTCCCCCCATCCCCCTTCCTCTCTCTCTCTCCTACTCGAACTCAAGGCTGGTTCGAGCACCTCTCATTCTCCTTCTCTCTCTCTACTCATTTACTCCCTATCTCTCGTCTAAATCACAAACCTGCATCTAGGCGCGGACCCAGCTTCCTCCCTTTTTCTTTCCTCTTGCAGCTTCCCTCCTCATCTTTTCTCTCGTCTTGCTCTCACCCTCCCCCATCAAGTGACGGGTCCGCGCCTTATGTGAGGTCGTCCAACTCTCCACTCGCGCTTTCACGCACACGCCGTCCAACTCTCGATGCCTCTCTCATCTCCCTCACTCCGTCCACGCCAAACACTACAATTCCCCCATCCGCTCCATCTCTTACCTACTTCATGCGCGCCATCACACCTACATCTCCATGTGCCCCTATGACACCTTAACTTCCATCCGCCCCTAGTGCACTCACTAATTGCTACCAGTTCTCATCCCCACTACCTCTATCCACCCCTAGATCGTCATCTAACCATCCCTATCTACTCCTACAACCCCTACACGCCCCTAGATCTTCACCTAACATCTTGTCTACCGTTATTCCCTTGGTAATTCCTACCCGCTGCTACACCCCATGACCTCTATCCACCCTTACCTTCCCATTGCCTCTAATTGCCCTTTATCCCTTACACTTGCATCCACATTCTTCATTCTCTTCTCTTTAAACCATACTCCTTTAACTACTAATTTATTTTATTTTATTTCGTCGTCGTTTCATCTCTCTCTCTTTGCTGGTTGCTTCTTTTACTGCCTAAACATTCGACTTGGGGTCATTTTAAGACAACGTCTTAGGGTGCTAATTCTAGAATTGCTACTCTAACCACCTTCTCGCACAGTGAATTCGGGTCATAAGAGATGTTGATTCTATTGCACTCGTCACTCGGGTCGGGGTCATCTTGAGTCAGCTTTCTCTAGAATTCTGACCCTCTCGCTATTCTAATCACAAGGTCACATAGCACTTGGGTTGTGAGAAAGCCCCTATCAGATGTATGCACACCCCCAGTTTTGTTGTAAAATGATGTATTGAATAAAAATTAAAAACAAAACACTCTTAAGTCGTTAGATCAATATTTTACATTTAATAGCCAACTTGTATCATTGGGACTCAAGCCATCCTAACCATCTACTCATATCAGACAACTAAGAGCATGGTCACATATACTTTATCTGTGGTATGGTCACATATGAATCTTTCCCCTACCTCAATCCATCTCTATATCCATTATTATTTTATATATTAAGCGAGAAGATGACCATTCCTATTTTCACAACCAGTGTCCTTTTCTCTTCTTCTTTTACCCTTTTGTTTATTAATAATGTCAGCTTTGCCCTCAATTATTTCCTTCAATATTTTTCTCTCTTTTATTTATTATGACAACCTCTCTCTTAGTTTAAGATTACTCTATTTTTATTTATTAACGTGTATTAATGTATTACCTCCTACTTTAAATAACTTTTTTTGGGTAAATAATTTAAATGTCTCTCTCTACCTTACATGTGACTATTTTCTCTCTCTTCTTAAAACACCTCACGCTATCGTTCTCTAACTCTCTCTCTTATTAAATCATTTAAATATCCTATCTCACGTAGCTACCACATACCATATCCCTTCTAATCTTTCCTATTTTTTCTCTTCTAGATCCTATAACATAAAACATTTCCATCATCCATTCAAGTTGATGAAGGAAAGAAAAGACCCAACATCCAATCCATCTCTCTCTCTAGGTTCGTTCATTTGTTTCTCTCACATATTTTTGCATTAATTCTTTTTATTGTTGGTCTTTCTTTGTTATTGTAGGCCTTTACGAATCACGAAGAAGTGGACGCTCAAGTATAAAGTTTTTGCCTTTTAAGTTTCATTTTTGGTATTTTTCAGTTACTAAACACTATTAATTCATGCTCTTTCATTGATTTGTTCGGAGTACCCGATTGAATGGTGCGAGTAATATATATTTTTATGATTAATTCATTAATTTCATGGATTTAATAATATTGTTCAATTGTACCCAAAGTCTAGGCAAACTATTATAATATCTCCCTAACTTTCTAATTACATCTTACGAATATCACAAATTTATTGAATTTCGACAAAGTTAATGATAAAAAACCTTCAAAAATAAAAAAAAAAATATCTCAAAAAATCCTTAGAAAAACTCTATTGGAGATTTGTACTCATTTTATTTTCCTCTTTTACCTTTTTCCCATTTGTTTTTGTTGTTTAATTATATTACTTTTATGTAGTTTATTAAATCTTCTATTCATGGATTTTATTTTTCATGATTATTCATTATTTTAGTTATTTGTAGATTACTTTAACTTTTTTTGTTTTTGTGGGTTTAGTGGGAATAAGGCTTTTACCCATAGAAATGGAACTTGAGACGCAAGGCTATTAATTATTCAAATTATTATAACATTACACTAAGTATAAATAAGTCGGGAGCTTAAATA